CATTTTTGAGCATCTATATATTAAGATCAAAGTAAGTAATATTATTATACCTTGAAAGTTGTTGAGAGCTTTAAACTGAAGATATTGTGCTTAGATGCGTTGAGCTTGATCATAAATCTTTGTCTTCATTGTCAATCACGGTTTGTCTTCATCAAAACAAAAGCTTATTTGAGAAGCTTGATTTTACACCTCTGGGCATACTCTTTGAAAGGCGCATTAGCCTTCTGATACATACTCTACAATTATGCACGGCTAGGCCCCATGGTGGTGTTGTAATGATAATGTTTCAGGAAAGCATCAACAAGCTCGCCCCAAGTACTAACATGAGTTTTGTCTAACTGCATGTACCACTCCAATGGAGTTTCATCCAGGATGTCTTGAAAGAAATGCATGAGTAACAGCTCGTTGCTAGCATATGCGACCATCTTTCTGCAATAGGATCGGAGATGAGTCTCTGGACATGTAACCCCTTATACATGTCAAATTCTGGTATTTTGAATTTCAGTGGAATCACGAACCCCAAAACCAAACACATAGCGGCAACATTGAATCCCGACATTTTGGAAGTCTCCATAGCCTTCAGACGTTCTTCCAAAGCCTTGTACATTTTGGCAATTTTAGACAAATCAACTGTGGAATCCTTTGGAGGGCCATCGAGATCAATGACGTCAAGGTGATCATCCACAATCATCTGAGAGTTTCTTTAGGAATTCCCCCATGGCCAGTATTGGATCCATCATTCTCGAACGTAAAGGCATTGTCAACTAGCTTAGTAACGCTCAACCTGAGTTCTTCTTGCCCCTGGATGACAGCATGAATAGTTTCCATGAGCTGATTCATTCGATCACCCATAATGTCCATTTCTTTGCGGAGTGCGGCTTTGTTATGATTAATCTGCTCCATAATACTTAGCTTGTTAGCTCGAGTGCGATAAGGATGTAAGGAATTTGTCTTATAGATTCTAATAATAAGAGGCAAAACCAACAGATAAGAATTTCGGCCAGAAAACCTGCAATTCATGAAATGCATTATATGTATGATGCATGAAATGATTTTCCATTTCGAGTTTTCATAGCTTAATCAACTTCAGTAATAATTGACAAACATGATAATAAGAACGACCATATAAGAAAATGTCTAACATTGCTCATATAATAACGGAAACAGGAGAAATCCCAACGAAGTTCAATACAAGAAAATTGCAAAAGTACAAGATACGAGATTCTTCCCAACAAGCCTGGTGTTAATCGGAACAACAAGATAGGAAATATAATAACCAATATCCTAGCTCTAAAGAATTCAACGAATTGTTCCCCAAGTGTTCAACACTCCAGGCAATAGTCCCTTTCACAAGCTGCTTTGTCTCCTTGGGATTTGGCTTCAAAAACATACTTTGAATCACCTCATCACTCTTGACCATCATGATCTCCAAACTACGGAATTGAGTCAACAAATTAGAATACTATTCGTTTTCTACATGATGTTTTCTCCCCCGTTATTGCTTTTAACCTGCTTTTTGAGATTTTCAATCTCCTTGCTGAACTGTGCCATAGACTGCAGCAGCTAACAACGCATTGAACATGCACCAAGTACCATCTCTAGCCATTTCTTCTGCTTTACCAATCAAGAGTTCCAAGGGTAGACTATTATTCTTTCTCCATCTCTATTTCACATCACTTAGGCCCAAATAAAGTGCCTTAGCAACAACTTCGAAATTGGGCTCGTTCCGAACAGAAACAAACGACATGTGCTCGGTAACTTTAACATCAAGAAAATGAGAGTACTCTTCCAAAGTTGGATAGATCTGATAGTCCTGGAAGGTGAAACAATGAAACTCATAGTCATAAAACTGAAGCAGAGTCCAGATATCTCCATTATCAACCCGAACATCTATCAGAGTCAAAATGACAACATGTCTTTCACGGAAAGCCTCTGCATTAGGATGTACTAAATATCCTTTCAAACTCTTCAAAGAAGGCCAAGAAATTGGGTGAAACTGATAAGTAAAATTGTCTCTTCTGGTCCTCTTGGAAACATCATTATTGCTAGACATTACTAACAAAAATTATAACTCCGTGAGATACCCCATAATGGACACGCATATGCAAGATTAGTATACAGTTTCATTTTTCTAATATTTCTTTTAAAAGGTAAACATGCTATGATGTAAGTGCAATTGATCATGGGATTACTACTTCCATGATACTGATTTTTGTTGTATTGTCTCTGCGTAGTCTTCTAGTACCAGGATCACAGGTTCGGGACATAACCGTAAGAACCATATAAACATCTGATTTGAAACTCAAAAAATAAATTTGAGGACCGCGTAGTCACCGACAGAACAAGTCACCAACATAAAAGGTCACCAACAGAACAAGTCACCAACGGTACCTATAAATATTATCCCCTCCCCACTCACGGGTAAAGACTAGGTCAAGTTAAGCCAATGGTAACTCAAAATCACGAGTTCTCTTGAGAGTACTATCATCATACACCTACGTGATAATGATAGCACCTCATTAAAACCTCATATGAGCATGGACAACACAATTGTCTAGGTTAATCTACATCCCATATCCTTCATGGTCCACTCTATTCCTAGTGTTCCTATTGTTTGTCACTTGGCCTGGGTATTGGGCCTTTTACCTCATAGTAACACGCACACAACAAGGAAACACATAATCCAGCATAACACCAGTATATGGAAAACAATAAAGATGCAATGCAAACATATGCTCAGATAATCATGTACAAATGAATAAACTGAAAGCATAAAAATAAACACACAAAGAAAAGACAACAAGAGATAAGAGCGACTCCAGGATGGACCATCATTTGGTCGATTTGTCCCAAGTGAAGTTGTTAGCTAAAAAAACTGGCTGAAAATCTTCAAACAATAAAGTCACCATCGAACGTCTTTCATCCCACCGACAGATAAAGGCGAACATCGAGAAAACCGGAGAAGGGAGAAGTTACGGTCTTGCGATCGAGATATCGGGTAAGGGAGTCTATTACGCGAGGGGAAGGTATTAGCACCCCATACGCCCGTAGTACTCTATGGTATCCACTCTTGTTATCTATCTTATAGGTGTGTAAAAATATATGTCTACTGCTTACTACTGAGGAAGAATGCATGAAAAAGAAATGCGAGGAATAGAAGGAAGTATTTATGAATTTTGCTTGGTTAAGCCACACGACCTGTTGCATACGTATCCCTTTCGAGGAATCAAAGTGTCGTAGTTCGACTCACATGTTTTGTTTTGTGTTTTTTATGGGTGACCCCTTATGAAAACGGTTTTGAGTTGCGCCCTTAAGGCAAGATGCCATGTTTGATTGGTTTGTATTTTGTTACCTTGAAAAAGGGATTAAGTGTGATTAGCATGATTTATGATTTGCCAAGAAAAAGAAAGTTTTAGTTTTAAATGCTTATGCAAAAGAGAAAGAAAATGTTAAGGGAATTGTATACCTATGTTAGCATTCCTAAAACTTTGGGGGTAAGGATAACTATCCTAGCATATCTAAAACCTAGGGGTGAGGATAACTATTCTATAGGGGACATGCAAAGATCAAAGTCGTTATCTCAATTCTGATTGAGTGACATCATCGATCATTAACAAAGGAAAGTGATAAAGACCTAAGGGAGCATGCGAAGATCGAAGTCGTTATCTCAATTCTGATTGAGTGACATCATCAATCATCAACAAAGAAAGCAATAAAATCCTATGGGGAGCATGCAAAAGTCGAAGTCGTTATCTCAATGCTAATTGAGTGACATCATCATCCATCAAAAGATGAAAGCAAACACAAGCACAATTAACAAACAAGTGTGGAATGCCTACTACAGGTCTTTAAACAGCGACTTGAGTGCACACTCTTTATTTCCTACTTCTCATGCTATCTAGAAAGCAGTAAAGAAATGCGATAAAATGAAGAAAAATGTAAAAGCAGTAGCGGTGACTACCAAAAAACAAGAAGATCGTCAAAAGCAGACGAAAGCAATGGAGAAACAAGGAGTACGCGTCGAGCAAGCTTCACCAAGAAATATACAAAGTCAGAAACGATATCCAACTAAGATAAAAACACACGTGTGTTGTGAATGCAACGCGTAATAAGAAGTTCCTTCACAAAGTATCATAAAATATCACATGCATCTGGACAACATATAATATAATATGAATTTCTCATGAAAATGAGGAATAAGGTGTGTCGCATCGGAAGCGGACATAAGTCGTATGCTTCGATCACTTAACAATCATTATGTTACATGATCGAAAGCACAAAAATGTACCTTGCGCAATGAACAAACGCGTCAAAAACAACAAGGAAAAACTGTATGAAAACCATGTGAGAATTAATATGACAATTAAAAAATTAAATGCAACAAGCAAGCATATATCAAATGATAATTATGACATTAAAATTATGCACTAAGAAGTGTAAAAAATGCACTAAAATATTAGTTTTTTTATATGAGGAAAATTCTATCAAAAACTAAAGAATTAATTCCGAAAATCAACTAAGAAGATCTAACAAGTTTTTATTGGTTTTTGCAATTTTTATCATCAATTTTTATTCCTAATATTATTATCTAGAAATTATGAAAAGAATATTAGAGAAAAATATAAACAAACTCTAAACATAGGGGTTATGTGGACTGGAATCCAGTGGTACAAACAACAATTCAGGCGCTAGGCCCAACATGATTAGTCCATGAAGCAGTTTTTGTCAAATCAAGTTCCAGCGTTCAAAAAATATAGTGATGGGTCTAAGGATGGAGTGACTCGGTCCAACCCACTCCAATCATCACTAATTTCATATTTCCAGCATCATTATGCTTATTATTAACAACAATTTTGAGGAAAGAAAGAATAATAAAATAAAATAATGAATTAATAAGAAAGATGTAAAACCATGTAGTTTTACATTAAGTTGAGAGAGTGACTCTTGGTCTTCTCTTGAGAACCCAATCTTCACTCTCATCCTTCTCTTTCTCTCTGTCGATGCCATACTCGTGTCCCCCAGCCGCTGATCGGCATGGAACCTTCCCCAATTGCCGACAGATAAACACCGTCCTAGCCCTATTTCGATCCCTAAACCCGAATTTGATGCTAGATTTCACCAAATTCTGGGTTGAAATCTCAAATTCTATAGTGATGATGCAAGATAATCAAAGGCAACCAACGAGGTTCTCCTTTGCGAGCTATAAGGTGCGACTAGCTGCTTTGGGCACAAAGAAGAGAAGACTGAAGGATCTCGAATATTACCAACATTGTTGGAATAGAAGCCGAGGATGGAGATGATCAACAAAGTTCAGAGACATCAGGTATGCGCTTCATATTACTCCGGATATGCATGTTTTTCCTTCTCTACTCTTCTTCCTTCTTCTTCTTATTTGCTATTCTTTCTGTGTTATTTTGAGTTATTGTTGGCGAATTATTTGTGCAGCGATGAAAGACCAAGTTGTTACGGATTAAAGCAATTGTTGTTCAGAGAATATGAAGCAGGGAGTGCTGAATCTGAGATTGCGGAGATTGGTGTAGAGGAGTCCATGGATGATGATTCACGAAGGAGCGGAAGTTGCAACGTCAAGCAGAAGTTTAATAGAGGTTTGAGGTAGATGTTTTAAAAGGTTGAAGATGATGAAGAACGAGTGTAAGAGGAAGCGAAGAGAATTGGTGAAGAATGTTGCAGATTGAAGCAGAGAGAGAAAGAGAGAATTTTAAGATATTTTTTTGGTGGTTATTCTTCAGAAATTTGAGAATCATGATTCAATGGTGAGTTTTTTGAAGAATGAAGGAGGTGATGGTTGAAGGTGTGTGATAATGGATTGGATATGGAGGTTCAGAGGAGGAGAAGCGTGAAAAGATGGTGAAATTTGAGAGAGAGGGAAGATCTCCTGTTTGTGCGTGTGAAATTTTGTTATACAATGTTTGACTTTGTTGGAAGCACATATATCTGAGCCATTGGATCTCAGAATTCGGTTATGAGATGGAGGGTTGGATGGGATTTTGGGAAGTTGTTGGAGAGTTTGTTATATTCTGTTATGACCTGTTAGTGAATGAGCTGGCTTGAGAGATTTAGTTGGAAATCAGTTAGATGTTAGCTGTTATTGGTTTTTTCTGTTAGAATGATTAGTTTAATTTGTGGAATTAAAAACTGTTAGAGTTAGTTATATAACTCTGTTATTTAGTGATTAGGTTAGTAATAGGTTGTTAGGAGATTGGTTAGCAAACTTGAAATGTTAATTCTGAAACTGTTAATTGAAATTATTTTGTAGAATAGGGTTAGCTTGAGCCGGAAATTTGTTATGGACTGTTGGAAGTTAGTTTTAGTTAGAGCGATTAGGAAATTTTGATTTACGGCTTTATGATTTCCTGCAGCCTTGCCTTCGATTGATCTCTTATTTTTAGGGTTTTTGGTTATTGATGAATGCAGGTCTGAAAACTGGTGGCTGGTATGAACACTTACATTTGGTCATGACATGAAGTGGACATGTTCTGAGTTGTGTTTATGTTCCAGTTTGAAGTGAATGTGCTGGTATTTTTCTTGTTGTAGGGCATGGTAAAAAATGAGTGAAATTTGTTTATGCTTTGGTGTTTAGGTAAAGTCAGCTTAACTCGACTGAAAACCTGAAGCGTATAGGGTTGTGTGTGGTCAATTCAGTCATGAGTGTAGTGTAGGTGTTATGAGTGTGATAAACTGGTTTGTCTTAGGTACGTGACACTTGGTGTAATTGTAGGTATGTCCTGATTTTTATACTTCAAATTGAATTGGCTTGATTATATATAGATACTGAACTTGTTTGGAAAATGGCCATTTATGCAGGTTTTCTTTTAGTGTTGTACTGATGTGAGCTTGATAATTGTGCAGGTGTGCAAACCACCTATAAAGGAAGTATCTTACATTGCGGAAGTGATGAAGACATCTTGGAGTAAAAAAGCATAAAATAAAAGGTGTTCAGAATTCTGGAGAATAGGTTTAGGGAAGGTCTTTTTAAGAATCAGAGTTGACGGTGGTGTCATTAATCAATGATCCAATGTTGACCGAAGGTCAACATATCTCAAAAACTTGTAATGTTCTTTGTAGCCTCTTGTAATGCACTTGGATTTTTTGTAATGAACATATGTTGTAACACTTGAAATGGTGATGGGTTTGGTAATGGATCACGTTTGAATCACTTTCTTCTAATGCATACATTTGTACTCTCAATGCCTTGTAAACTTTGACTAAGTACTATATAAGATAAAAAACCACGAAAAGATTTGAGAAAGTTGATCAAAGGTCAAATTTTCAATAGTGTGTCTTCCAACCTTGAATAGTCCGCTAATACACCTTGTGTTTATTCATCTTGCATGAAGTCCTAAACCATGTGAGACTCTAGCTTGCCATATATATATATATATATATATCAAATCTTGCGCAAAACTTGTAACTCAAGCAATAATTGAGAACCTCTTGAATAACATGATTCACTGATGAACAAGCTTTACCAAAAACCCTATTGAATAATTCTAAATTGGGGAAATAAACCATAATCAAGTGACAGTGATGAGAACAAGAATATGATGTTTGTAGACTCTCCATGCTCTAGCTCATTGTCTATTAGATGATATCTTGGGATAGCTTTTATTGCAAGTAATAATCAGCATTTCATATGTTCAAAGAAGCTAGAGAAAATTCAGGAGAGTAACTTTATATGGCATATATCTAAGTCTTTGTAGATTCACCTGATGAACTTGAGTATAAAACCTTGACTTGGAACCAACCCATATGAAAGAAAGAGGAAACTATAATGCCTAAATAGGGCCTTAATCCTATGACCATTCATTCCAAATACTGAGCCTTGTTGTTAATGAATGCACGTAATGTTATATGACCTAATGGAGGGTATGTACATGATGCATAAGCCAGACGATCCTTGTTAAAGGGTAGAAAAAATTTAGGATATGACAGCAGTAAAAGGGATGTGTGACCCATGGGGAGTGATAATCACAACACCAACTCCTTTTCCATAAGCATTTACAGCCACATCGAACACCATACCCCACCGGGATTCAGGATCAGGACCTTCCATAGGCAAAGGCTCATCAAAATCTTTTACTTTCAAAAATATCACATCCTAATCAGGGAAATCATACTTAAGAGACTGATAATCGTCCACTGATTGGTGAGAAAGGTACTCTGCCAACACAGTACCTTTAATAGCCTTCTAAGTACGATATTTAATATCATATTCAGATAACAACATCTGTCAGCAGGAAATTCTTCTAGTAAGAGCAGACTTTTCAAAAATATACTTAATTGGATCCATTTTGGAAATCAACCAAGTAGTATGATTCAACATATATTTCGAAAATTGCTTTGCCTCCCAGGCCAAAGCACAACATGTTTTTTCTAGCATATAATATCTTGACTCACAGTCAGTGAACTTCTTGCTCAGATGATAAATGGCATATTCTTTTCTTCTTGTTTCATCTTTTTGTCCCAAAATACAGCGCATTGAATTATCTAACACAGCCAGATACATAATCAATGGTCTTCCTTCAACAGGATGAGCAAAATAAGAGGCTCAAGCAAATACTTTTTAATTCTTTCAAATTCCCTTTGGCAATCATCCGTCCATACATAACCTTGATCTTTCTTCAACAACTTGAAGATTGGTTCACATGTTTCAGTCATATGGGAAGTAAATATGGAAATGTAATTCAAATGTCCAAGGAAGCCTCTAACTTGATTTTCATTTCTTGGTGTAGTAATTTCCTGAATTGCCTTATCTTTACCAGGATCAACTTTAATTCCTTTTTGGATGAAAATGTAACCTAGCAATTTTCCTGAACAAGCACCAAAAGTACACTTATTTTGATTCAAACAGAGACGATACTTCCTCAATTGCTGAAACAACTTTAACAAATCTTCTATATGCCCTTCCTCAGTCTGAGATTTGGCGATCATATCATCAACATATACCTCAATTTCCTTATGCATCAGATCATAGAATAGGGTTGTCATAGCCCTTTGGTACGTTGCACCAGCGTTCTTCAACCCGAAGGGCATCACTCTATAACAGAATGCTCCCAGGATGTGATAAACGTTGTTTTTTCCATGTCCTCAAGAGCCATTCTAATTTGATTGTATCCGAAAAATCCTTCCATGAACTAAAACACTTTGAATTTTGCTGCACTATCTACCAACATATTAATATATGGAAATGGGAAATCATCTTTCAGACTGGCTTTATTTAAATCTCTATAATCGACGCACATGCGGACCTTTCCATCTTTATTTGGTACTGGAACAATATTAGCAATCCACTGAGAGTACATTGATGTCACAAGAAAACCAGCATCAATTTGTTTCAAAACCTCTTCTTTAGTCTTTACTGCCATGTCAGGATGAGTTCTGCGCAACTTCTGCTTGATCAGTGGACATTTTGGCTTAAGCGGCAAATAGTGTTCCACAATATCGGTATCCAAACTAGGCATGTCTTGATAAGACCAAGCAAATATATCCACATACTCTTTCAGCAACTTAATTAACCTTCTCTTGACATCGGGATGAAGTAGTTCCCCAATCTTAACTTCTTTCAGATCTTCCTCTGAACTCAACTTAACCGTCTCCAACGACTCTTTATACGGCTGAATGGTATTTTCCTCGCGCTCAAGCAACCGTGAAACCTCTTCTGGGATTTCATAATATTCTTCTTCTATAACCACATACACAGGATATTCAAAGTTAGGAGAGGGTGCAAGGTCATTGCACTCAACGGGTTTTTTAATTAATCTACACATATGATTTATGATTGATTTTAGAAACTGATACATGTAACAAGTGATTATGTAGATTTATTTACAATTATTATTTATTTCGAATGGTTTTTTATAATTACCATTTTCCAAGAAAAAGCATAAAATAAAGGCATAATTTAGGAATCAAAAACCACTTTTATTAATGATCTTAAAATTCAAAACAAAAGACACTCCCATACAATCATTACTTCCACCTTTGGCAGAGTGAAAGACTTTTGAAAAGACCAATAAAAAGAAAATTACTTTGAAATATGAATGTAAGAAGGAACATCAACAGTGATCCAATTTTAGACTCTGAATCCATGTGTCACGAAGTTCAACATTTCTTGCTATAATTCATCTTCGAGAAGAGCGTTGATCCTTGGAGTACTCAGATGAAGATATCATGCATTGTCAAAGATGTCTTGATATTTACTCAAAGCGGACTTAGGCTTCACAACTTATTCCATCACGAAGAAACCCAAACCAGTCCCATTCCTATTCACAGGTGGATTAATAACCTTCCCTCACACCTTGCTAGGGCCTTTCTGCACTACCTTTGTGCATCCTTAAATGAGGTGATAGAATCTTCATTCTTTCTTATATTGTCAATGGATAAAGCTTGGAACTGAGTTCCAACAGCGGCTTCATCAGCTTCTATAATGCTAAAGGAAGACAAATGAGATATCAAAAGAGCTTACTCGCCATTCACAATGACCACCTTTCCTTCACGAACAAATTTCAGCTTCTAATGCAAGGTTGAAGTAACAGCTTCTGCTTCATAGACCAATGGTCGTCCCAATAAACAACTATAGGCAGGGACAATATCCATAATCTTAAAGGTGATTTGGAATATGTGCGAACCTACATGAATAGGTAAATTCAATTCTCCGATGACAAACTTTCTCGAACAATCAAAAGCTTTCACTATAATGCCACTAGGGAATATAGGAGTTCCTTGGTACTTAAGCTTCATGAGATTACTTACCGGTATGACATTCAAAGCATATCCATTATCTATCAGCACATTGGACAAAGAGTCATTCTTACAATTCATAGAAATATGGAGAGCCAGGTTTTGGTTTCTTCCTTCATTAGGAAACTCGTCATCACAAAAGTTCAGATTGTTACATGACGTAATATTCCCAACAACACCATTGAACTGATCCAGGGGCATATCACTTTCAACAAAAGCTTGATTCAACACCATCATCAGAGATTCTCGGTGAGCAGAAGAGTTCATCAACAAGGCTAAAATGGAAATATTAGAGGGAGTCTGCAACAGCTGATCCACAATCTTGTAATCACTCATCTTGATGATTTTTAACAGATCATCAACATCCTTTTCTAAGGCGGCTCCACTAGATCCTCCTTCCACTTTATTAGGCTCAGCATAAGTCTTAACAATCTTTTTGCCATGATTAACATCTCCTCGAATTGTAGGAGCGAAGACAGGACCACTGCGAGTTACCTAACTAGCTTCAACAATATTCTCAACACGGGACAAAGGTTGGATAGGAATTTCCACACCATCTTCCAGGATAGTTGCATTGTACTTATAAGGCACAACTTTATCTGATTCATATGGGATAAGACCAGGCAGACAATTAACCACGGGAGAGCAGGCTTTTTATGGTACTCAATCTCTACAGGAGTGAGATCACCAATACATGGTACAATGACATTCACCCCACTTTTTCAGAATACTCAGGAATCGTAGAATCATTATCAGAAAATATACCTTCATTAGAAGAGAAGAACTCATCAGTAAAAACATACTCATCATCAGACATGGCCTCAACGGAGTAGTCTTCAATCATGTTAACTCCATTATTATCATCATCTTCATTGCTTGTGAATCTAATAGTACCATTATCTAATAGCAATTGAACACCTCTTCTTACAATAGAACAACCACGAGAATCCCTACAGCAGATTTCACATGACCTATAATTATGTACCTCATGGCCATCCATGTGACAAAATATGGCATGCAACTGCACCAGATCATCATTCTTGTAATTCACATCAAAAATTTGGAATTCTCTGAGGCAACCTTAAACCATATTCACATCTTCTTCATATTCATCCCTTGGTCTGATTATGTGGATAAGACCTTCGTCCATCATCTCTTGAAGATCAGCTCTTAC